GGGCTGGCTGGCATGTGGTGCTGGGGGATTGAACCGCGGTCCCTGATGCTTTTTGCTAAGCTTGTTCTAAGTAGGTGCTTTAGACCACTGAGCCATCTCTCCAGCCCCGTGACTTTCAGATTCTTAAATCCTCTTTGGCTATGGTTTTTTGGTCAATGAACCTGACCCCTAAGAGAGCAAGGGCAAGCAGAAAAAAAGTAGATAAAGATCCTGTGAGGGCAAACGGTGCCTGAAATAAGGTTGACACCGGCCCAGATTGTTTGTGTTCAAGGTCACTGTGATGAATTGAAATAATAATGGGATCCTTGCCAATAGAATTTTTTTAAAAAAAATGTATTTGGACAACCACCCTGGAACCAAGAGGGAAAGCTCAAGAGAATCACCGTGCTGCTGGCCCTGGATCAATACTAGACATTGGATTTATTTTATGAAAAAAATAAACTATTTTTGCTTGAGTTACTGTGAAAAAAAAATGTATTTGGTACAGGGTCTCACTAGGCAGATCAAACTCATAGTAATCCTGTCTTCAGCCTGACCAGCGTGGGATTACAGGCATGTGCCACCACAACCAGTCTCATTCGCCAGCTCACCATGCCTAGGGGCGGAGCCAGTGCAGCATGTGGTGCCCATGTCCCTGTGCTTGCCTAAGCAGGCACTTAGTCTGCTAAGCTATCTCATGGATCCTTAGAATGCTTTTTAAAAATACCACAGAGCACTATAGGAGGCTGAGGCAGGAGGAACACAAGTTCAAGTCTGCCCTGGGCAACTTTGTGACTTATTAGTGAGATCTTGTCTCCAAATAAAAAAAAAAAAAAAAAAGAGGCTGGGGTGTAAAAGTGTGAAAGTGCTGGGTTCAATCCCCACTACTGCAAACAAAACTAAAGCACAGAACAGTAGGTGCTATGAGGTCCCCACCCACAGATGTTAACGAGCCCCTACTCTCTGCCAGCCACTCTTCCAGATGCTATGATTCAGGGGTGAACTAAACAACCCCAAAACTCTTGTAATGGTGCTTGTAGTCTAATGGAAGAAAAAATAAAGTTCTTTTTTTAAAATGTATTTTAGTACAGGGTCTACAGGGTTTCACTATGTA